GGGTAGAATGATCTGTAGCGGCAAATAATTCCCCAAAATCAACAGCGCTGTAAGTCTTCGACATCAGATGCTGAACACATTAGTTTCAATGGACTCACATAGCTGAAGGTACTCGGTCATGAATCCTCACCAGATCACGAGTAGGAACGCCGTACTCAACATCCCCTGCAACTGCTAGCCAGATTAGATCAATCGATCTTCGATATATTGATAATCTATCAAATATATCTTCGAACCTTCTCGCTTCTATCTTTTGATTTCATTTGGTGGATACGATTCATATTAGAAAGTGTTACTGGTTGAAGCATTGTCGAACTCCAAACGCCAGTGGCATTTTCATTACAAAGTCAAAAACGTTTAAGCGTCGACATGACTTACTATGGCGTTCTGTTGATTTTTTGACAATCGACTCAGTGTTGCGGATAGATTAAAGCATAAAATAAAGGGTTTCGCAACGAAGTTAGCTAGTTCCTATAGTAACCCAGGATGCAATTCATTGGGTGTCATGGATTTGCCTATATCAAGCTTATTTAGCAGACGGAATACATCGAGTTCTTTAATGATCACGTTGTCCAGTGTCTATGGGGGATTTGTATGGTCTAATGGGAGGGATGTTTCTTCGGTATATACATTGCTAACGTATTTAACATTCGTTTATTTTCTATGTTACATCTTTTTCAGCATAACATTGACTGATTTCGGTGTAATGTTTATTCGTGATAGTATTCCTTGCATTAATTTACTATAAAATTCGTAAGTTGTAGTGACTACATGCATTCGGCCTATGTGTGATAACTGCTAGCAAATCCTCAAGTGTAAAATCAATGTATAAATGCTTGTATTTGTGTATCAATTCGATTTATTTCCGGGGTCAAATAAGTCTATGTCGTTAGTCTTTGTGTTTTCACAACGCAGTGCCTGGCTCTGGATTTCAGAATTAAGCACTAGTCAGTTCAACATTTCGTAAATATAACATTGATAGACATAGCAGTCGTCTTCTATTAGTGATGAAGCATTACTCTCTCCCCATAGTATTGGAATATTTCCTCTTCTTTGGTCATTTGGTTTATATACGAATCTATAGATTTCTTAACAACTTCTTCGTACAACCTCCTAGGGTCGCGGCACAAGTATTCCGAGCTTCTCGACATTGAGATTTTGTCTTATCAGCACCTTCATACTGAACCATGGTTGAGAGTTTCTCGGACGCCTTTGTGTAGTCCAAGGGATGTGGGGTGCAGTGACGCTTAAGTATAAATTTCCAAATATATCACAAGCTGTTTTAGTTGAGGACCCTGGCTCTTTAGTCCAATCTACTGATAATACTGAGTGTATAGTTTCTTTTATATTTGCTTGCCAGAAGTAAGATTTGGTTTGAGCTGACGCGCGCTCGTTTTTGACGACTATATTATTATTATATGGATGTCAAAGGTTAGAACTGCATGATCACTTTTACCTAGGTGTGGGATGTAATTGAGATTCGCGAGGTCATCCTCATAATGGGTCAGTCTAAGATCTAGGAAGGATGACTCAGCACCCGTGTCGTACCTAGTCGCTTCTTTCACACGTTGCACTAAGGCACATTTGATAACTGCATCAACTAATTCCTGCTCGAAGGAGTTTTCTGACAATTCATTTCTAAGATTTTCCACTCTACCGTAGGTGCACTAAAGTCTTCTAGGATTAGATATCGACCACTTTGTGACCGAGTATTGAAAATGTTATGCAGGACCCCACTTAACTCACAGCTTTGACTGCAGTAAACCAAACTAATCCACAGCTCATTATCCTCGCATTTCAAGCGGCAACTAACTAATTCAAACGTCCTACTCTCATGGGATAAACTTATTGAGTAAGCTTCGAGCATTTGTGTAACAGATCCGAGGCCTGCTTAAATGGCTTTGTGCTGCAGACAGAGTGGTTTCGGTCTAATTCTTCGTCGAATCTTCATAACCTAAAAGCTTACAATTTTCAGGTCCTTTTCGGCAGCATCTAACCTAAGCTTTGTTTTTTTTGGCTTCTTGTCTTTTTACACAGTCTGTGAGCGACAAGTCCTTACGGACAATGACTACTAAACCCTTTGGTCTATGTCCATTCTGTAATATCAAGTCCAGTTCATAAGACTTCAAGTGTACATTAAGCAGCCTGGTTTGATTTTCTTTCATGTCCGTTTGGCTACCTAGTCTATAAACCTTTAGCAAGGCACAGATACTCTGAGGTATTAGCTGATTTATCAACACAATGTCATGCACCAAACTAGTTTTAGGTTCTAGGCTTTCATTCTCCTTGATTCGATGAAAGATAAATGATCTGTCAATGTGATCAGTTTTGATTTCCCAGCAATTCTTGTGGGAGGTAGTGAGTAATTCACACGTATATTCAATAGCTGATTACTTAAGTATGAACTGTCTGGAGCTTTCACTTTTGACAGAATACTTATCATATCTTACTTCGTAGCACGATACTTATGACCACCCCTCCATAAAGACAGGGGAATCAAGGTACATGGTATTCAATCTTTCATACTGACTAAAAACTATTGTTCGTTTCTATAATGTGGTTGGCGGATTCGTAATCCATGAATTGTCCTTCTTGTAACTATACTCTTGAACTGGGAATAAATTAGTGGATAGCAACAGATAATACAGTCCGTCGCCCACCAGAGCATCCATAAGGAAAGTGGGTACTGAAACTGGACTAAGTGGATGGTTGCTTGATGGGTTGTTATGTCGGCGTTCTATAAGGATTAGAGTAATGTATATCAGGTACCATTATTTCGGGATGACCCTAGATTAAAAGAATTTGAGGAAATTGAACTAAGAGTTGTCGTCGTGTCTGAGACTGCTTCTCTCAGTATAGTGAATAAGGTTATAATCAGTTTGAGAAGCATATTTGCGCGAAGCTGATGTAGATTGTTGAACATCAGTCCTCAACTTAAGTTCAATCCCAATATACCTGCCATGATGTAGTAGACACTCCTCTTTGATGTTGGTGCTCAGGGACAGCTGGAGCCCTAGTACATATTGCTTGATAGGGACCCTGTGACATCGCTGTTATCACTATTATTATTCACAAACATCTTATGGGTACATGAGTGTTGTGAAGAAACCATTTTGGGTATCTTTAGAGATGTAATAATATACAATTTTCAAGAATGTTAGCATTATATTTGCTATATCTGAAAAAGAGAATAATAATAATAGAATAATAATAAACCAGGTTCTGTGTAATTGAGAAGAATATTGAATCGAGTTTAAAGAAGAAAAGGAAAAAATATGGAAATAGAAATAGAGGAGACGTGAAATATGCAAATAATTTAATAGGCGCGTTTATGAAGACAGAACAAAAATAAACGACAATGTATGTATCGTCAAATTAGTAAAAGATAATATAAAATAGAAAACAATTTAGAAAAAATAACTTATCATTGCAGTAAGATATGACGCTAGAATAAAAGTTTGTGCAGTCATAGTTTGGAGCGATGCTATGAAAGTCTGCTTTATAACAACTATAAGCTTAATACGTTGGGGAGCATGCTGTGAGCTAACAAGTGTTGTAATTTGTAGATCATGCCTGTAAAAATGGTGTGTACATGCTCATGCAGAGGTATATTATTATTATTAAAAAGTGAAAAGGACAATGAAATATAAAAATGTATGAGTCATATATACATAGCGAAGTTAACAGATGAATGGCTCAGTGAAAACAAAACAATTCGAAATTTAGAAATTTATCGTACTGAATCTGTAATCGGCAATACCAACTATTTATTAACTACTAAGGAACGTCCATAAACAAAACCAAACACTATCATGACTACCAAACCGCATCAAAGATTCTCTGATTGGCAAGGATGTGATTAACGAAATTTTATAGCAGCTCAAGCTTCGTCGAAACAGTCGTTAGATACGAGCCTCTGATGACAACAATGTGGACAATAATAATTTGTCTGAGACTTCTGGTCCAACACCCAACACGTCGCCTTTACTTGCTAAAATGTTTATGCGACTAGAGGAAGTAATGTGTAATGGACTACCGGGTGTGAACCGAGAGAAACTATTAATTTAGCACATGACTTACCTGCAGTCGTCGACTTCAACTCTCGATTAAATAAATGTAGTTTGCTCGTATTTGCATTGAATAAGGTATTGTCCAGCTTATATTCGGATTCTTTACATGTTGTCATAAATCAGACATCTGGAATAACGTAACCTCAGTCTGTGTAATGTATATCAATGGACTATTTAGTCTAGTAGTAGTACGATCTCCTTCGGCGATTATTCTGGTGATCAGATATATTCAAATTCAAGTGCTAACTAAGAATTTCCGAAACAGTTCAATTTAAGGCAGGTAGGACTGGATGGGCATAAATGAGCGTATTATATGTATAATTAGTAATAAGCTGGCAATAAATTGAAGATGAGTCGTTGGAGAGTGGAAATATCATATCTCAGCTTAGACGGAAATTCGGATTCCCATAATTTGTTGTACGTCTTCCCTTTAGCTCCATTAAGTGTCTGTTCAGCTGTGCATTGGGCATATGCTCTTTATGATCCAGAATGTGCATATTAGTTTCAGAATAAACGGATGTTGTAACAGACTCACCTGGGTCCATGTAAAATATTCGGTCGTTGTGGACGGTTAGCATATGAACCGTAGTTTTATTGACCATTTTTAGAAGACCTTTTGTAGATTGTGGAAAATCAGTACCTCGACGACATGTACCATCGGAAGACTATAAACATCCCATATTTGAATGAATGGTCAGCATCCAATGTTGAAAACTTACAGAGCTATTTATTTTGAGGATTTATTTACCGCTACAGTCTTTTTTAACGACTAATATGATAACTCAATCTACACATCCAAATACGCATAACTAAGCGTTAGGTGTGGATCTTTGTAATTCCTTGGACTGTATTATAAGACAAATCGAAAAAACTAGGAGCGTCTTTTTAACCTTGTGCGTTACGAAGCATCTCGCGGTAATTTAAAGCCTCATGGTCAGTCTGGGATTTATCTCCCTAGGAACCTCATTTTACCTCGATTCTCTCTCTTATTTGCATATTTCATTTTTAGACTTCAGTGTTTAGCTTGGTGTATATTACTGAAGTAATGTCTTAATAATGCCCACCATTGTGCTCATATGACGCTCCACAAACTTCTAAATTGGGGAAATTTTAAAGAAGCCGCTATAGAAATTTTCAAGGGGAATTTCACGGAACTCAAAAAAATTTCGCGATTTCACGCAATGTTTTCCCAGAACTTTTGACGACTCTGAATGAATCCATCTGTGTTCTGTGATTAAACCCCAATACTTTATCGCTTTTTGAGAACATTCTGTACGATTTCCGGTTATCTCAAATACTGCACTCGAAAAAGAGCAAAATTACCGGTGGCGCAGAAAGTGCCGTAGATTTGGTAATATGTGCTTAAAAGTTTCTGTTCATTTATTGCATGTTTCCCCTGTTGACTTCGCGCAGTAAACGTAGTCGCGAAGCAATTTAACCACAATTAGTAATAAGAACTGCCATGTCGCGATAAATGAACAATGCCGTAATAAAAAAACTGGTGCGTTATAAATGAGAATGTTTATTAAGGCCTAATAAAGTATAAACTATCCATTAATACATTACTGCTTCAAACTCCTAACAATTGACCATGTGTTTTGGATAAGTAAATTAAGTTGATGTTAAACTTTCATTCATGGTATTCTGCAAAAAGAAGAAAATTCTCAGCATTGCAAACGCAGTCTCAAAACGGCCAAGTTGCTTGTAGTAAGCGAAGAAATGTCATAGCAATCATCCAACGTATGAATCCGTAATGCCATGTAAAAGGTTGATTACGTACCAACGGTATAACAATAATGTATTCTGAATAAGAAACTTACAGTTAGGTATGTTAACACTTGCGAAGCCAGCTGAAAATCAGGTGGACAAGAAATAATCATTTCAGTATAAATTCTTATCAGATACAAATGTAAAAACAGAATACGGTAATTTAGTCACAGGTCTTAAGTGTATTTAGCTCACCCTTTCTTTGAATCGCCATGCACACTTATTTACTCTATCTTTTGCGTCGTGTAAGAAAGCCTGGGGTTCAACTCTTATGGCTAGTGTTATTTCTTTTTCTGGACAGGTTGCACTTCGGAACCGTGAACACATCTACAAATATATTAAGACTGTGGTGTAAACTTTTTTGAATCGCCCTGTAGAACCTGTAATCACTGATACTTATTTTACTTTTAGTCCTACATAAGTTATAGGTAATTGCCAGTTCCGGCGTCAAAACGTAAGCTAGATATGCTTTGGTAGGTTTCCGAAGATCATCACATACGATCTCGGACAATTTGGTCACCTGAAATTTTATAAATACCTGTCACAACTTACAAACTGGTCACAAAACTTGTGCTCATCCAAAGCTGCTTCGTAAGTACGCATTTCCTCACGTGTTTTCAATGGGAATGCGAAACTTTTAGTGTCTATGCTGTCGCTGTTCCTGTCTTTCACACCCATGGATGAGCTTTTCATGAAAGCAGTTAGTTTGTCAGTCTTGTTCGACAGATCACTTATTACTTTCAGTATCATTTTGCTGCCATTATTGTGCAACCTATTGGTATTATGTTTACATTTACTGCAACATACGGTTTACTAACTTCCTTTGAAATAGATGAAAGCATTAATGAGAAAACCTCTGTTTTTGATGAACTGCTTTATGAGTATGTATTCATAGATACTTACCTCGCTATAGGTGAAAAGTTCCCAGTCAAAATGTTGACAACTGAAAAGTCGACTGGGACGCATGCAGATTCCATTTTCACAACTACTAGTTCTTCAGAGGTACACAAGTAGTCCTTCATCGTGCGTGCGACAGCCCTAACAATAGATAAATTGCGTACTTTTATCAATTTACCTTTTCGGCTTCTCTGTTCTGCACGACAGCGTGTCATCCTCGTGTTCATTTGTGCTTTTTTATCCGAGTACTGTAGTAAAAGATACTTTCAGTTCCTCAGCTGTATGGTAGTCATCTGAAAACAGTTACTTCAAAGTAGTGTCAACTTATCACAATAATGCAATACAATCCACGCCCGCAGGGAGAACCGACTATCGTAATCGACACTATTAAGAATATCGGTTATAAATTTAGAAAATATGAATTTATTACATTCATGAACTCAGTATCATTTGTAATGACTGCAGAACATTCGTAATTTGTAGAATATTATACAATTACAAAAATTGTAAACCTCGGTCGAACTTTCTTGTAATTATTATTATTTATTATTTTAACACATAGATATTGGTACAAGAAGGCACCAAATACATATATGCCACACAGGTCATCTGATTTGTATGTGGACTGTGATGCTGCTCGGGTGCCCAAACCGAAGCAGGTGGTTTTCTTAGGGGGCCACACCCCGAGCCTTTGACCTGAAGGTCTAATCCACAAGGCAGTGGAGCATCGTGATGAGATGCAGTCCCATGGAAGCCGATGACCAACGACTGGTTCATGCACCATTTGTTCCTGCAGGATACTGGAGCCCATGTGCACCATTGGTTTGGAATCCGGTTAAAGCGCGGGACATTCGCATTTCGTCCGCTCAATTTCGTAAACAACATCCCCGCGACGAGAAGGGAGTGAGTAGGATTTCCCTGGCAGTGGTTGTATGCACGTGGCCATGTGAGAGCATTTGGAGAGGGAGAGCGGACTCTCCCCACTCTCGGCCGTACCAGGGCATCTATGTATCAATGAGATACATGAGACTGATTCTGTATTAACTTTAAGCTCCGTGCAGATATAGGATGTACATCAGTTCAGTAACTTTGGTCTGGGCACCTCGGGCAGTATTACAGCCCTCACACAAGTCCATGATAAATACTTCTGGCTTCACTGTTATTGTGTGGCGCATATGTATTTGGTGCCCCCTGTACCAATGTTCATATGCTCAAACAAATAAATATAAAAATAAAGTTCAATAGCATCTTGTCTTCCAGTGGGACTCATTTCTCACTGACTAGTAATGGTTCATTTCCAGTTATCTAACGCCATGACCATTATGCATATCGATAAACTCAGCTTTTTAAACAAGCCCTGATCACTGGTTTTTTTATGTAGCGACTCTGTACCGCATGTATCTGTCGACATACTAAAATATTTAAAGTTAAATTTTAGACTGTAATTAAGAGTCGCGATCGTCTAGAAATGTTTCGTAATTCACAACAGGATTCAGTGTCAGTTTCGCTGACATTTTTTGCTGATGTTTCGAATAATGTCAACACAGTTTTGATGCTTGTTTTCATGAGAAGGCGCTGACCAGGTTGTTGAACGAAACGTTAGTTATTTTCTGTTTCAGTCGCTGAAACTTTAACATATATAATTCTCTCCTATCACTCCATCCTCAGGTACTGTGAAACTATTCGTCCAAAGTTGGGTGTAAGTTCTTATAAAACAGAAGGAAATCTACTATTTTCATCTATTTGGCTCTGTTAAAATATCTTCACTTGGCCACCGAATACTCTAGTACGACCGAGAGTGGAGAGACTCCATTTCATCTCTCTAAATGATCTCACATGGCCATGCCGTATACAGCCATTTCTTGGGAAGTCCTACACTTTGACTTCTTGTGGAAAGCTAATATCCAGGACTTTAAACAGGTTGGTGGATACAGAACATTCGCCTAGAGGGGTTGGAAAACTCTGGTGCCGAATCAATGGTTTACATGGGCCCCAAGATCCTAAGGGAGCGAATTTCGTATGAACCTGTTATTTATTTGAACACACAAGTATTGGTACAAAGGGGCACCAAGTACATATATGCCACACAGGTCATCTGATTTGTATGTGGACTGTGATGCTGCTCGGGTGCCCAGACCGAAAGAGGTGGTTTTCTTTGGACTCCATACCCGGAGCCTTCGACCTGAAAGTCTGATCCACAAGGCAGTGGAGCAAATTTAGGAGGTACAGTCCCATGGTAGCCGGTGACAAACGATTGGTTTATACGCCATGGTCTGTGACGACTGATCCAAATGTTAGAACACCGTCATAATTATCACCGGCCAACAATCATAATGTTTCTTGACATCAGGGCTGTCTGAGAAGTTTATTAACATCCTAGAAGCCCTATATAAAAACACCTCAGGCAGAGTGAGGGCATACAACCACCTCTCTCCATTGTTCCATTCGAGCAGTGGGGTTAGGCAGGGTTGCCCAATCTCACCATTCCTCTTCAACTTTGCCATCGATGACATTCTGGAAACAGCTCTGATGAATGTAAGTAATGGTGGTGTGGATCTGTTGCCTAGAGAAAGACTTCTCGACCTTGAGTATGCGGACGATATTGTCTTACTGTGCGATAATACCCAAGGCATGCAATCCGCACTTAATCAGTTGGCAATCAGTGTCCGTAGGTATGGTATGTGCTTTGCACCTTCGAAGTGCAAAGTACTTCTACAAGACTGGCAGGATTCCAATCCTGTACTCACCCTGGATGGTGAGCAGATAGACGTAGTCGAGAAGTTCGTGTATCTGGGTAGCTGCATAAGTGCTGATGGGGGTGTGAGTGTTGAGATCAATGCACGTATAGTGAAAGCCAGAGCGGCTTATGCCAATCTGGGCCATCTTTGGCGCCTTCGTGATGTTAGTCTGGCTGTAAAAGGTCGGATCTACAACTCGTCGGTGAGAGCAGTTCTGCTCTATGCTTGTGAAACCTGGCCTCTCTGAGTTGAGGATGTTAGACGGCTCTCTGTGTTTGATCATCGTTGTCTCCGAAAGATTGCTGACATCCAGTGAGAACACCATGTTAGTAATGCAGAGGTTCGGTATCGTGTATTTGGGCGAAGAGAAGATAATCCAATTGGTGTCATCATCTTGAAACATCGACTTCGGTGGCTTGGACATGTTCTACGAATGTCCTCCCAGAGAATTTCACGTCGTGCATTATTTGTCGACGCTGGGACTGGTTGGAAGAAGCGGAGAGGTGGTCAGTGTATGACTTGATGTCGTGCTTCTGAATGCTTGTGTAATATATTTCTTTTTCCCAAACTTGAACTTCTCTCTCTAGTTAGCTGGGCGTGGACGCGTCGGAATAACTAGCTTATCTGTCATTGTGTCACAGAGTCTTCGTTTCGTTCTCAGGTCAGTTGAACTCGTAATCTCTTCAAACATAGCATCCATCATGTGTACAAAATTTCTCAATAGGCCTGTCTATAAACAGTCGTGTAGTTGGCTGTGCAATAGATCGATCCCTTGACGCAACAACATCTAATAATTTCTGCTGCTCTATTGATGGTTTTGTAATTCAGTCGTTCTCATAGCTAAGCTTTCTAACAGAGCCACTTCTTGTCAATAATGTGATCAATAAAATAGACTAGTTGATAATGAATTAATTATTTATTTAAACACTTAAAAATTAGTACAAGGATGCACCACACAGATATGTGCCACACAAATCGAACGATTTGTGTGATGGCTGGGATACTCTCCAGGTGTCCAAACCGAAGCAGGTGGTTTTCTTAGGGGGCCACATCCGGAGCCTTTGACATAAAGGTCTGCTCCACAAGGCAATGGAGCAACTTTAGGGGATGCTGGTGACTAACGATTGGTTCCTACGCCATTTTTTCTTTCAGAAGACTGGAGCTCATGTGCGCCGTTGGTTTGTAATCGGGGTTTTCCATTTCTCCCTGTCCTTCAACTCGGTTAAAGCGCCGGACATTCGCTTTTCGTTCGCTCAATTTCGTAAACAACACCCCCGCGACGAGAAGGGAGTGAGTAGGATTTCCCTGGCAGTGGTTGTATGCACGTGGCCATGTGAGAGCATTTGGAGAGGGAGAGCTGACTCCCCATTCCTGGCCGTACCGGGGCATTCGGGTTACTGATTAATTAATAGCATTTTCCTGTGTTATGTTCCAAAAATTTGTTTTCCTCTTCATAGTCTAAATTTTAGGTATTTCAGTTTCATGACTGTTTATTCCATCATGTTATTTTGTTTTGGTTACACTTAGGCCAAGTACTTGGTCCAGTTGATTCTATCTGGTGCTCGAGTTTTGGGCCGTGCCTTTGCCCAAGCTGTCAAAGAAGAATATGTTTCAAGTCAAAGAGTTGCTAACGCCCGTCGAAACAATGGGTCTGGTGGTCCTGAACAAAATACTTACGTCCAAAACGCTGGAATCTCACTAGAGGAAGCAAAACAAATATTGAATGTCAAAGATATTCACGATATAAGTACTTTAAATAAACACTATGAACACCTCTTTTCCTCCAACAGTAAAGATAAAGGTGGATCATTTTACTTACAATCTAAGGTATTCATCGGTACATTTTACAGTCAATTTTTAATCCAAACGTCTATTTTGTTAGCTTATTAAACCATGATGGACAAAATTTTGTATAACATACCAAATTTTAAATTCTTACTTTTCATTGTGGTTTTATCATAAAACCGAACCATATTTATATGTATATTTAGTTTGGTCCAAAAGTTATAAATCATCATTGTGGTTGAACATTTCAGATAGTTGCCTAATAAACTTAGACATTTTTGTACACATTTGGTATTCTATAGTGCATCATCTCGAATAATTTGGTCAATAGAATTGTCGTCTAGATACTTTTCGTCTAGCTTTGTCATGAGACACTAGTTATTTAAAACTATGCTCTTATCAATACAATATCTGACTAGTTTTGTATTTTTAATGTTCTGTTACTCTTATTTAGGTATTTCGAGCGAAAGAGCGTATTGATGAGGAATTACAGTTTGAACAGTCGGAACGGCGACGAGATCCAGAATCTAGAAACAATAACCAATCAGGGACATGAACAAATGTAAAAAATCACTTTTTTATTAGTTCTCTGTATTTAGGAATTTACAGATAAGTCAATATCGTATAAATTTATTGTACAGTATTAGTTGAAGAGAAATTAAAAATAACCACGATTAATTTTACGTTGTTTCTTTATGGAGTACCATGAAGTGAAGAAATTTTATCGCTACGGAAGTTCTGCTGAATAATAAAGCTACTTTGAATCATAAACGAATATAAATAGCTTCTAATTACTGATTAGAGTTTTCAAGTAACACACTTATTTTCACAACAGTTTCTCATTGTAATTCACTTTGTCATGATACTTTTTTTCAAATACATAAATTCATACAATGTAAGAATTTAAATTCTCATATTTTAAGCTGATGTCTTGAAAACTTAACAGCATACAAAGGTTTTTGTGGTCAACTATAGGCTACGCTTATCAGAGAAAGTGTAAAACACAAGCAATTATTTTTTAAAGTACGATTTCTGTTAACTTAAACTCAGATTTATATATGTGAAATTTCAAAAATACGTTTATTTAAGTTCTTGTTTTTAACAACTCACCTCTAAGTTCAAGTTGGATAACTGAATAAATATTTATGAAGACAGTAAATTCACTCACTGTCCATTCACATATTCCAACATACATGTTAGTCCGTTAGATAACCGTCAGTTTTAAGGGAAATATATTTCATAACGTATCTGCGTATCTTTGGATTATTTCATATTTGTTATATTATAATCTATCGTTATTTAAATAAAGTACGATAATATTTGCAAAATACAATAAATTCATTGTAATTCCTTGTTTTCTCCTGTGTTACGTGCTAATAGATTTTTGATAGTAACATACTTATAAATTGAAAGATAAATTGAACATTAGAGAACAGTAACGTGCTTGAAAGGCGAAATTGTGGGAAATTTTAGACGAATTGAAATGGGTATTTATAAAAAATTGGAGTGATATGTAAAGTTTTAGATCTTCTCGTTGTTGACATTAAAGACTAAAATTGGTCAGTCTGTTGGTATATTTTCATCCCGAGCAGATTGCCTTGGTATTAAGTTTCAGTTACCAGTCTTAATATATCTGAATTTCAGCAGTGAATATAAGAAAGTACGTTTCATCCTAGTTTGTACTTGTTATTCTGAAAAATTATAAATCTTGGATATAAATTTACACTCGTCAGACAAGTTAGTGACTATCTAGACTCAGGGGATAATTCGTCCGGTTTAAAGCAATAGTTGAACATCAGTGGTGGCATATTAACATATCCGGCTGTGTCTCACATGGGATGAAATGTGAATCCCTGATTTTACTGCCAGCTACAGACCAATTATAATCCTTATTCTTCAAACTTCTTTATAACCCTCATTTAGCCCTAGTTAGTAGGTAAATACTCAAGGTCAATTTGGCGTCGCTGAAAGGTCGTCGACAAATGATAGCCTCAACACTTTTCCCCTATTCGTTTGTATGATTACATTCACATCGAGGTATTTTATGTAAATATATACAAACATATTATGGTATACGACAAGACATAGCCAAAACCTGACTCACTTATATTTGTCACTTTTAAAGCATGGTACTATTTATCAAAACCTACTCGAGATCATGTCAAAAATGTTAGATTCTGCCGAAAATTTGCAAAATCACATGGCTTAGTCCCTTTGATAAATTTTGATAATGCAATGAGAAGACGAAGTTTATCAGAATTATGTGATATATTTGCGCATTACATTTCGGACAATATCACAATGCTGATAAACTTAATTCGCAAATAGAATGAAACGTTCGTCAGATCTCGCCGCTGGTCACAATTCGACTTTATCAAAAACCTGAAACAATGACAGTATCTAGACAAGATGCAAATATGCTTATAAAGACCGACAAGTTACAGCATTTAGTTCTAATTCTTACGGACGGGACGATATATTTAAGTCAAAATTGTTATATCCGAGTGGAGATTAAATTACAGGTAACTTCCGAGGACTATTCATGGACTAATATTCTATAAATATTCTTATTGTATAACTATTCAACAATTACATTATGTATATTTATATCCCTCTTATGACAAGCTTTATTTTGGCCTATAATTTATTATTGTACGATTTACGGTTCTTAAGTTATGTTCAGTTTATTAACTACTGCCTCCCACATTCACAGCCACTTTTTGGGCTTATTTGTGTACAAATATTATTTCTTATTTTATGGTACGTTGCGGTCTGTGTGATTGATATATAAACCAAGTATGCCTGAAATAAACGATCTGCTCTGATTCGAAGCTGGTATCATGTTCTGGATTCAAGTGGAAGGGCTCGTAGGATATAGGACCAATAAGGACGCTAAACTGCCCACACCGGTTGAACGTCATTGATTGGCTTAGTGTGAAGATTCGTATAAGTCGTATTCGGATTGGTAGATAAGTCGTGTGATCGAAAAGTCAGACATCCAAGGTCATAACAAAAATCTTACCACTAGTGTGTCTGTAGACCCTTTTAATTCAATGTCTAATAAGTTAAAAGGTTTAATATAACTTAAGGTGGATTCTTTTGGTATTTGTAAGTGAATAATATAGAAATTGGTACATCTGGACTGTAACTCACAACTTGCTATTTGTCAAAGTATTTTTTAAAAATCGCTAATCTTATGTGCACTTAGTGTATTCATAATATAACGGTATGAGTAGCGATACATAAATCTTCGGTCGTGTTTAGCGAAATAACCAATTAATTTAAGCATTTAAAGGCAGTTTCATGAATCTGACACTAGCTGATATTATTATTATTATATTGTGGTGGTTGGCACAATACCAAGCCCACTTGGGCTATTCTGACTTTTAGACAGACCAATTTATCGATTCTCAAGCTACATTTTGACCTTGTTTATCATTCGCTTACTAACCCTGGCTGTTTTTATGTGATCATATGCATACAAATTGCTTGCGCTATTCATTGAATGTCTGTGACTTATTTTTGTTCGACTATATATATCGAGTCAAGCTTGGTTAAACCGAGTTGGTTCACTCGCCCTTTCCACTGCGCGTCATTTCGCTTCGTCTCCCTGATTGTCTTTTCAGATCAATGAGTGTACGAAATATATGTATTCAAACTTATTTTATTCCGCTATTAACTGACGCGATTTAAACCGATGAAAATATACGAGGGCTGGCGACAGGTATATTTTGGCAACAATTAGCGCACGATTAAACTGGGGTCAGATATAAGGCCACTAAAATACGATAGTTAGTATTGGCATAATTGGCTTTAATGACATATCAATTAGTCACAGTGAGACAGTTCGTTGTGTGCATAGGTACATGTAAGAAGCAATGCATACCCAACACAAATGTGCTAATCACTTATTTTGATTGATAGTATGCTATGACTAAAATCTATGGAGTCATCTGAAAATGGACACGAAAGCCTTTGTTTTAGTGAATGCTAATTAGCTGGAGGAAAATCACTATAAAACAGGAAAATTGTAAACCTTATCAAGTCTGATCACATGCTAGAAATGTCCCCAGAAGCGTACAGCATGAAGGGAATTTGACTTCTCGAATAGAATAAACCCATGTACATTAGAATTATAATTCCATTCTTAAAAGTGTGATCTTATTGGTAATTTTCAAAAGGTCATCATTTCATTATACATACAAGCATTGGCAAAACCTATATGAATTTCATTGTTTGTTCGTATTTTCGTACACGAAATTGTGTAGTGTACGATTTTGTGATGTGAGATATGTTTCTCTTGAGGTACTTATTGCTTTTATGCCCCAAACTGGAACGTATGAGATGTATTATTCTCATCAATTTCTGGTGACTTATATGTTCGTGCTCTGTGCTGATAATTTGCGACTCCAAAATCAATGTCGTGAATAAGACTACCTCCTATTCTTTTCGCTGTCCCACCAACTATAGTAGAAACATCAGTTCATTAGATGGTTTTTGACGTAGAGTAAAATCAATCAAAATACATTATGTTTATCGATTTTACATCCATAGAAAGTGATCAGAATATTTAATATATGGGAATTCCATGAACAGTGTTCAAACTGAATACTTCACTGTAGCAGAATTTTGACCTAATTTGTTTGCTTCCCATAAGTTTCAATTTTATATTGTATATCCCTAATACTTAGGTTGATTTTAGCTCGTGGTAAAATTAACCGGCAAGAAAGAATAGTTACACTAGATAGAAATTAATAAATAAATTAAACTATGGGAAGGATCGATCACTTGGTTAGACGAAATTAAGCAATGACTAAAAAGACAGCAAACGTCTGTGCATTAAATTGGCAATTTAACCATTATTTCCCGTGACAACTGTTAATTGGATGCTAGAAAGTCATTACTAATAGAATGTACTGCAGTGTGTATGTTAGTGTACATTTCTATTGAGTTGTGCTACTGATGTCGACAGATATAAGTAGTATGTATCACCAATTGAATGTATAATGCCTAAAGGCAGATGGTTAGGAAGATTGAAAAAAAGAGAACGAGAACAGAGGATGATTGGTTTGGAAAAGAAAGAACAATGAAGTCTGAGATGATTGATTGACACTTTGCAAATTAAGTATTTACTGTATAGTTCTCAAAATTTACTAGGACGTTCTGTAATTTAGTGTTCAAATATCTAAGTTGTCCTCTACTTGTGTTCTCGTCTACTACACTACGACCAGACAGTTTTCATTAATTTCTTTTAGTTTTCGATTCTTTTCAATAACTAGGAAGCGGATTTGTAGATTAAATAATTTGAAAAGGGGTAGTCACTAAAACTTAACTCCACCTGTAGCTCTTATAGGGTTGCTGCCGGTCCCAAGCCCGGGTAAAGGAGGAGGGTTGGGCATGGGGTTAGCGTCCCCATCCCGTAGAAAACTAACTCGCTAAAAAAACGCTTACCAGAAAAAATAATCCAAACCATTTTAACTCTGCCCTGGGAGTTAGAAGGTCTTCATTTAGAAGAATTATGACGCTTCATGGTGAAAGCCGAGTTCCTTCGGAAGCCACGAGGCCGATGCCCCTTCTAACAACCAGAGCAAAAATTTTTATAGGTACATGGAACGTTCGAACAATGTGGGAAACCGGGAAGACCAGTCAAATATCAATGGAAATGAGGAGATACAACTTAGCAGTACTGGGAATCAGCGAAACCCACTGGACCCAAGCTGGACAGAAAAGGCTAGCTACGGGAGAGATGCTGCTATACTCCGGTCACGAAGAGGACAATGCTCCACACACTCAGGGAGTCGCTCTTATGCTGTCCAAAGTAGCACGAAATGCACTTGTAGGATGGGAATCTCACGGATCCAGAATCATCAAAGCATCATTCAAAACAAAGAAGGAGGGGATCTTAATGAATATTATCCAATGTTATGCACCCACCAATGATAGCAACGACGACATTAAAGTTCAATTCTACGAGCGGCTGCAGTCAGTGATAGAGAAATGCCCAAGAAAGGACCTCACCATTCTAATGGGAGATCTAAATGCCAAAGTCGGAATAGACAACACTGGATATGAAGATATTATGGGACGACATGGACTGGGAGAAAGAAACGAAAATGGAGAAAGATTTGCAAATCTATGTGCATTCAACAAATTGGTCACAGGCGGCAAAATATTTCCACACAAGCGTATACACAAGGCTACATGGATCTCACCGGACCACACTACAGAGAACCAAATAGATCATATTTGCATCAACCAAAAATTCCGAAGGACAATGGAAGATGTGAGAACCAGGAGAGGAGCTGACGTAGCTTCAGATCACCACCTAGTTGTAGCCAATTTGAAACTGAAGCTAAAAAAGAACTGGACAGGTGGACAAACAGCAATACAAAGGTTCAATACAGCCTTCCTTCGAGATACTGTCAAACTCAATGAATTCAAGATAGCTCTCAACAACAGGTTCCAAGCCTTACGAGATCTACTGAAAGAAGAAGAAACTACTATGGAGGACAACTGGAAAGGCATCAAGGAAGCATTAACTTCAACGTGTCAAGAGGTTCTCGGTCTAAAGAAATACCATCATAAGGAATGGATCTCTACAGAAACAGTGGACAAGATCAAAGAAAGGAAGAACAAGAAGGCAGCAATAAACAACAGCCGAACACTAGCAGAGAAAGTCCAAGCACAAGCTGAATACATAGAAGCAAACAAACAAGTGAAGAGGAGCATTAGAGCCGACAAGAAGAAATACGTGGAAGAACTAGCAACGATGGCAGAAAAAGCTGCTAGAGAAGGAAATATGAAACAGCTTTACGATACAACGAAGAAACTATCAGGGAAATACAGTAAACCAGAGAGGCCGGTCAAAGACAAAGAAGGCAAGCCAATCACCGAAATTCAACAACAACGTAACAGATGGGTAGAATACTTCGAGGAACTCCTGAATAGGCCGGCTCCAATGAATCCACCGGACATCGAAGCAGCACACATAGATCTTCCTATAGATGTCAATCCACCAACGAAGGAAGAAATTAGAATGGCCGTCAGACAAATCAAGAACGGGAAAGCAGCAGGACCCGACAACATACCAGCTGAAGCACTGAAATCAGACATCGAAACAACCACAAGCATGCTTTATCTTCTATTCAAAAAGATTTGGGAGGAGGAACAAGTGCCAATGGACTGGAAAGAAGGACACCTCGTCAAGATTCCAAAGAAAGGAGATCTGAGCAAATGTGAAAACTACAGAGGCATTACACTACTGTCAATACCAGGGAAAGTCTTCAACAGATTGTTGCTGAACCGGATGAAGGATGCAGTAGACGCCCAACTTCGAGATCAACAAGCTGGATTCCGTAAGGATCGGTCGTGCACAGACCAAATTGCAACACTACGGATCATCGTCGAACAATCAGTTGAGTGGAACTCATCACTATACATCAACTTCATTGATTATGAAAAGGCATTCGACAGTGTAGACAGGAGGACGTTATGGAAACTTCTTCGACACTACGGAGTTCCTGAGAAGATTGTCAATATAATCCGGAACTCATACGACGGACTACAGTGCAAAGTAGTGCATGGAGGACAGCTGACAGATGCATTCCAAGTAAGGACCGGAGTCAGACAAGGCTGTTTACTCTCTCCCTTCCTCTTTCTTCTGGTGGTCGACTGGATTATGAAGACCTCAACATCTGAAGGAAAACACGGAATACAATGGACAGCTCAGAATCAATTAGACGATTTGGATTTCGCAGATGACCTAGCCCTCCTATCACGTACACACGAACAGATGCAGATGAAGACAGCCAGTGTAGCAGCAGTCTCTGCATCAGTAGGCCTCAGCATACACAAAGGGAAAACTAAGGTCCTCAAATTCAAAGCGGAAAACAGCAATCCAATCACTCTTGATGGCGAAACTCTGGAAGATGTAGAATCCTTCACATATCTGGGAAGCATCATCGATGAACAAGGAGGCTCAGATGCAGACGTAAAGGCGAGGATCGGCAAAGCAAGGGTCGCATTCCTACAATTGAAGAACATATGGAACTCAAAACAACTTTCAACCAATATCAAAGTGAGAATCTTCAATACGAACGTCAAGGCAGTTCTACTGTATGGAGCTGAAACTTGGAGAACTACAACATCCACAATCAAGAAAGTACAAGTATTTATAAATAGCTGTCTTCGCAAGATACTCAACATCCATTGGCCGGATACCATCAGCAACAGCCTTCTGTGGGAGAGAACAAACCAACTTCCAGCTGAAGAAGAAATTAGGAAAAGACGATGGAAATGGATAGGACATACATTACGCAAATCGTCAAACTGCATCACGAGGCAAGCCCTAACTTGGAATCCTGAAGGGAAGCGAAAAAGAGGAAGGCCAAAGAACACATTGCGTCGGATAATAGAAGCAGATATGAAAACGATGAATTACAACTGGACGGAGCTAGAAAGGATTGCCCAGGACAGGGTTGGATGGAGAACGCTGGTGAGCGGCCTATGCTCCTTCACGAGGAGTAACAGGCGTAAGTAAGTAAGTCACTAAAACTTAATCGAAACCTGATTTAGATTTAGGTTACAATTATACGACTGGGAGTTTCCTGTATGAATTTTATCCGGCTTAGTTAAATCTACTTTGTAGCGTATATCTGTTTCATTCAAATCGAAATTTATTTTTTCACAGTTAATCTGTCATTTGTTCCTTATGTATTTGTTCTTTTTATTTAGAGGACAGCATCTGGCTAGATCGATAGTATGATAGTTAAATACAGGCCATAAAGTCTGAAGTGACTTTACAATACACTAACCGTTAATTTTTACACATTAAGGGTTGATAAACAAATCGAAAACGTTATTTAATACACGGTTAGCTCTAATTTAACTTTTAGTTATCTTTTTCTGTATATACAAGAACATATGCTGATGACAGAAAGAAAAAATTAAGCCTGATATTCAGGTCTTAGTTTTATCTAACACTGAGTGCTCTATACAAATTATATTTTATAATCCTTCCTTAAATGATATTGAAATAAGTACTTTGTCTATTAATGTAGCATTTTGTTGTATGAGACTACATTCTTTGATAACCAGTTGTTTATCTCTGTTTATTGAGGCATTTGTAATAAGATAAATACATTCAGACAATTTTCCGCACATTTACTTAGTTCAACAAGCAGTTTCTAGCTTTTATAACAAAGGATGACCATAAATATGTAAACTGTTGAACAATCGTTTAAATGTATCAATATATTTGTAAATATGACAATATAAATAAAATATTTGTATTAAAAATAATCATCTATTCTTGTAGCAAATAAATAAGTAGTTGAAAATTTATAAACAAAATAAAATAATATAAAGTTAATAACTGAGTAAATTTTAGTATAACTAATTTTATAGAACTACAAACAGAACATTTATCACAAAACATTTTCTAATAGTTACATGGGTATTTCATTTTTCACTACATTAATTTTGATTAGTAGGATATTAAAAAGGGTGGAATGTGGGAAAAAATAACTGGTGGATTTATACGTGAATAGATTGGTAAATTCTTGTTATGTCAGCAAATAATTTTTTGTATAAATCGATAGAATCCTAGAAATAAAAAAGGATCAAACGGTTGCTTTATTTATTTTTTTTCTATTATGTAATTTCGAATTTTTTTATATTATCAAATGATAATGGTTGATTAATTATTTTTGATAAAACGGATAACTAGTCCAAATGTTACTCACCGGAAGTCAATGTATGTACGGCACCCATATCCTATTCAGAGTTAATGTGAGTTCCTATTTTTACTGCTGAAGGATTTTAAAATCATATAAAAAAGCTGTTTAACATTATTGAGCCAAACAATCCCAGGCAGATTACCTGGTGTTTTAAGGTTTCATAGTGTTTGGAAAATGCAGCCGTGATCGTAGTGTTGTGAATGAAGGGATTATTAAGGTGACCAGATTTACCGTTCACGTAACTTTGTCTATGCATTACCTTTAGCATAAAGCTTTCTTTACATCCTAAAGCTCCTCATTGTCCCATTACTGGTTGATTCGAGCGTTAGAAAGTGTTTGAAATGTTACCGAATTCTATTACTTACTTACTTACTTACTTACGCCTGTTACTCCTCGTGAAGGAGCATAGGCCGCTCACCAGCATTCTCCATTCAACCCTGTCCTGAGTAATCCTTTCCAGCTCCTTCCAGTTGTTATTCATCCTTTTCATATCTGCTTCTTTTATCCGACGTAATGTGTTCTTTGGCCTTCCTCTTTTCCGCTTCCCTTCAGGATTCCAATTTAGGGCTTGTCTCGTGATGCAGTTTGATGACTTCCTCAATGTATGTCCTATCAACTTCCAGCGTCTTTTCCTAATTTTCTCTTCAGTTGGGAGCTGGTTTGTTCTCTCCCACAAAAGGCTGTTGCTGATGGTATCTGGCCAATGGATGTTGAGTATCTTGCGTAAACAACCATTTATAACTACTTGTACGTTCTTGATGATGGATGTTGTAGTTCTCCAAGTTTCAGCTCCATACAGTAGAACTGCCTTGACGTTGGAATTGAAGATTATCACTTTGATATTGGTTGGAAGTTTTTTTGAGTTCCATATGTTCTTTAACTGAAGGAATGTAGCCATTGCTTTTCCAATCCTCGCCTTTACGTCTGCATCTAAACCTCCTTCATCGATGATGCTTCCCAGGTATGTGAAGGATTCTACATCTTCCGGAGTTTCGCCATCAAGAGTGATTGGATTGCTGTTCTCCGTGTTGTATTTGAGGACCTTGGTTTTCCGCTTGTGTATGTTGAAGCCTACTGATACAGAGACTGCTGCTACACTGGCTATCTTTATCTGCATTTGTTCATGTGTATGCGAGAGGAGGGCTAGGTCATCTGCGAAATCCAAACCGTCTAATTGATTCTGAGCTGTCCTTTGTATTCCGTGTTTTCCTTCAGATGTCGAGGTCTTCATAATCCAGTCATCCACCGGGAGAAAAAGAAAGGGAGAGAGTAGACAGCTTTGTCTGACTCCGGTCCTTACTTGGAATGCATCTGTCAGCTGTCCTCCATGCACGACCTTGCACTGTAGTCCGTCGTATGAGTTCCGGATAATATTGACAACCTTCTCAGGAACTCCGTAGTGTCGAAGAAGTTTCCATAACGTCCTCCTATCCACACTGTCAAATGCCTTGTCATAATCAATGAAGTTGATGTATAGTGACGAGTTCCACTCAACTGATTGTTCGACGATAATCTGTAGTGTTGCAATTTGGTCTGTGCACGATCGATCCTTACGGAATCCAGCTTGTTGATCTCGAAGTTCGGCGTCTACTGCATCTTTCATCCGGTTCAGCAACACTCTGTTGAAGACCTTCCCTGGTATTGACAGTAGTGTAATGCCTCTGTAGTTTTCACATTTGCTCAGATCTCCTTTCTTTGGAATCTTGACGAGGTGTTCTTCTTTCCAGTCCATCGGCACTTCGATGTCTGACTTCAGTGCTTCAGTTGGTATGCTGTCGGGTGCGGATTCTTATAAGTTACCTTTGGATTTTTAATGATCATTGGACTAATCATTACTTTTCTAGCAAATAATTTTTCAGCACAACCCAAATAAAATTTAATTATAAATTTCATTAGGTACTTACTTACCTGTTACCTTTTGTGAAGGAGCATAGGACGCCCAACAGCATTCTCCATCCAACCCTGTCCTGGGCAATCCTTCCCAGTTGCTATTCATCCTTTTGATGTCTGCTTCTAATCTTTAGAACAGTGTGTTCTTTGGCCTTCCTCTTTACCGTTTGCCTTCAGGATTCCAAGTTAGGGCTTGCCTCTTGATTCATTTTGATGACTTCCTCAATGTATGTTGTATCAACTTCCAGCGTCTTTCCCTAATTTCCTCCTCAGCTGTGATCTGGTTTGTTTTTCATGATGTATTTGAGGATCTTGCTGTTTCCTTAGTGTATGTTGAGGCCTACTGATTTAGAGCCAACTGCTACACTGATTGTCTTGACCTGCATTCGAAGTTGAATCCAACCTGCCGATTGTATTCCGTGCTTCACTTCAGATGTGGAGGTCTTCATATTCAAACCGACCAACAGTAGAAAGAGAAAGGGGGAGATTAAGCACCTTGTCTGACTCCGATCATCACTTTGAATATATTTGCCAGCTGCCCTCCATGTATACTTTGCACAATGGCCGATCGGATGAATTCCGTATGATGTTGATGATCTTCTCAGGTATACCGTAGTGTCGAAGAAGTTTCCATAGTGTTCTCCTATCCACACTGTCAAATGCTTTCTCATGCTCAAGAAAGTTTATGTATAGTGACAGGTTCCATTCAATCGATTGTTCAACGATGACTCATAGTGTCGCTATTTGATCTGTGAATGACCGATCGTTACGGAATTCGGTCTGTTTATTTCGGTGTTGAGCGTCTACAGAGTCATTCATCCGGTTCAGCAACAATGTTGAAAACTTTTCCTGGTACTGATAGTAGTGTGATGCATCTGTAGTTCTCACATTTGCTCAGATCTCCTTTCTTTGGTGTGTTAATGAGGTGTCTTTCCTTCCAGTCTGTCGGAACTTGTTCTTCCTACCAGATCTTCCTGAATAGAACGTGGAGTATGCTTGCAGTTACTTCTATGTCTGACTTCAGTGTTTCGGCTGGTATATTGTCAGGTCCAACTGCTTTCCCACTCTTGATTTGTCTGGTGGCCATCCTGATTCTTTCGATCGTTGATGGGGTGACATCTATAGGAAGGTCTGCAGGTCGTACTTCGATGTCCGGTGGACTCAACGAAGCTGGACTATTCAAGTGTTTTTCAAGGCTTTCCACGCATCTGTTCCCCTGTCCTTGAATCTCAGTGGTTGTCTTGCTTTCTTTGTCCTTGACCGATCTCTCTGGTTTACTATATTTCCCTGCTAGTTCCTTCGTCGTATCATAAAGCTGTTTCATATTTCCTTCTCTTACAGCTTTTTCAGCGGTTGTTGCTAGCTCCTCCACGTATTTCTGCTTGTCAGCTATAATAGTCTTATTCACTTGCTTGTTTGCTTCAGTGTATCAAACTTGTGTCTTCAATGTCTCTGTTCTTGTTCGACTGTTGTTAATTACTGTCCTCTTGTTCTTCTTTTCTTGAATCTTGTTCAGGGTTTCCATAGAGATCCATTCCTTAAGATGACGCTTCTTGAGGCCCAGAACTTTGTATGTTGGAGTTAGTGCTTCTTTAACCCCTTCCCAGTTGTCCTCCATAGTAGCCGCCTCTTCTCTGGGTAGATCTTGTAGGGCGTGGAACCTGTTGTTGAGAGCTACCTTGAGGTCGTTGAGTTTGTCAGTATCTCGAAGGAAGGTTGCATTGGATCTTTGTAATACTGTTTCTTCAGTTGTCCAGTTTATTTGAACACATAGATATTGGTACAAGGAGGCACCAAATACATATGCGCCACACGAATCTCATTAGATTTGTGTGAAGGCTGGGATACTGCCTGGGTGGCCAAACCGAATCAGGTGGTTTTCTTAGGGGGCCACACCCGGAGCTTTCGACCTAAATGTTTGGTGCAGAAGGCAGTGGAGAATCGTAAGGAGATGTAGTCTCATGGTAGCCGGTGACCTACGATTGGTTTATACGCCATTTGTTCCCTCAGGATACTTGAGTCCATGTGCACCATTGGTTTGGAATCAGGGTTTTCCAACTCCCCTAGGTGGACTCTCCATGTCCATCAACCCGGTCAAAGCGCCGGACATTCGCTTTTCGTCCTCTGAATTTCGTAAACAACACCGCCACGAGAAGGCAGTAAGTAAGACTTCCCTGGAGAGGCTATATACGCTTGGCTATGTGAGAGCATTTCGAGAGGGATAGTGGACTCTTCCCACTCTTGGCTATGCCAGGGCAGTTGGGGGCCAATGCTTCTTTAGCATTATTTTCATCTGAGCAACCACTATTTGGTGGTGATCTAAAGCTATGCCAGCTCCCCTTCTGGTTCTCACGTCTTCCAATGACCTGAATTTTTCCCTGATGCAGATACGATTGGTCTGATTCTCTGTGATGTGATCCAGTGAGATACATGTAGTTTTCTGTATGCATTTGTTGGGGAATATTGTATCGTCTATAACCATATTGTCGAACGCAAATAAATTTGCAAATCTGTCACTATTCTCGTTCCTTCCTCCCAGTGCCCACTCCATGTCGTCCTATGTCATCTTCATTCTCGATGTTGTCCAATCCGACCTCGGCGTTTAGGATCCTCATCAGGATGGTCAGGTGCTTTCCTGAGCTCTTCGCTATGTTTGATTGCATCCTCTCGTAAAACTGATCTTTATCGTCATCTTTTCTATTATTGGTTGGTGCATAACACTGATAATATTCATTGTGATCTCCCTCTCTTTGTTTTTTGGATGCTTTAATGATCCTGGATGCATGAAATTCCTATTCCCGGTGCCCGAAACTCCTTGACCTGGGCTTGGGACTGACAGTAAGCCTAGAAGGGCTACAGGTGGAGCTTATTATAACTCACAAGTTGGAGCTTGCAAGTTTTCTAAACAATAAGGGAGAAATCTATTGTAATTTTAAGTATTACACATGAAGCAGTAATATAATATGTACTTACATTAGCAAACTATTTGGAATTAGATGTTATATCGTGTTAGCAAAATTTAGTGGACAGAATCTGTGATTTGTGCGTGTGAAATGACCATAAATTTGCCGTGAAATGAATTTATTTGAATAGTAGTTCATATCTCTTTTCGTGTATCCTTTTCTTGGTTTTTAGGCAATTTATGTAAATGAAAAGTAAGGAAGAGTCTAAATGCAAAAACAGAAATACCATGGATGTTCATTAACACGAAGACATATGAGTATCTTAAAAACATATTTCGTAAATGTATAAAAAATGAAATTAAGAGTATTGTTATTTCATCGAACTTAGTCTTCAAGAAGTCATAACGACTGTCGTCTAGTCTAACATATGAGCCATCTGAAACTTAGACCTAGAGTAAAACGTACTTCGAAAACGTGCATCTTGATCCGAACTAGTAATTATCATCATATTTGGAAGTTTTCATTCTAGGATAGTTTCCATACAATTTTCAGTATTGTCGCACCCAAGGTTTTCAATATAAACGGGTGTGACATATTGGGTTATTGAGTGTTTTTGATGTTTCATCTACATCTTCAGTGTCAAACAGAATTCCATTTAATGAACCAATTGCAAAATAAAAATATAAGTGATAAATGCCTGTCTAGAAATTCAAACAACAGGATAGTTTGGCCAAAAGATCTATTTTGTTGATCCGCTTTTTAAGGTTGACCAATATATATGCATATAACTTTCACGATAATATTTAATTGTCATTCGCCGCTAATAATATCTATTTACAATATGATTTTCATTGGTGTTTTCTTCTAACAAGCCTTTTTGAGGTATACAGTACTCTGTGGTGAGGATTTGAAGTTAATTTTCGGTATGGGGTTGTGGAGATTATTGAATTCCATAAACCGATAAGTGATAGACCGACACTGAGAAGTAGTTGGCGTCAAAATATAGGACTCTTCATCTGTGGGAAGCCACGATCCAGCACGCGGGATTCGAACCCAGGACCTTCGGTCTCGCGTGAATGCCAGTGCTCCTAGGTTTTCAATGTTGATCAGACATTGTTCAGTTAATTATTTCAACAAAGTTAGTCTTGTTCAAAGTGCATGGTTCTCTTTGCAAATTATTTTTCATCAGCCACCACATTGAAGTGATTAGTGGTTGATGAAAACAAAAATAATTTCAAATAATGACCTGAAATAGCCTACCTTGACGGCTGTGGCTTATTTCGGCGATTAGCAGATGTAGGCCTACTCTTTGTTCGCTCATCCAACTGCTTGGCTTCATAACTAGTTGAATATAATGTAGTGAATCTGTTTTGATCAAGTGAACGTGGTTGTTTTAGATAATCAGCTTTCCACTTCTTAAAAGAATTCTTATCATATCTTTCTATTGAACATTTCGGGATATGCATTAACCAATCATCTGTTGTACTAACACTTAGCCATTGTGCCATAGTTGCAGATTCAATTTTACTAAATACACTTTTTGTTAAAATTGGTTGCGATGTAATCCATCGATAAGCCGTTATTGAAGGCGTTAATCCTGGGTGTTTCATTTCATTATATGGATTTGTCATATTTGGGACGAGTTTTTCAACTATTTGATTATCTGTTCTCATACAAACGTCTGTTGATACAACAGATTTGCATTCTAATTGGTCGTATTCTGAGGAACAATCAGTGGACATTATAAATGCTAATTAAATTAAAAAAGCCATATAAGGGGTTTATGCTTTTATAAGAACAAAGATAAGGGAAAAAACAAATTGGCATCTATATTTAGGCAGTTAGCTAATGTACAGTAAATGTCACTAAGAAAAGACAACTCATGAATCTATCTTTCATCATGCGATCTCACAATTATCATCCCCCAAAATGTTCGATACGATTGAGGCAGTTATATATATATATACTTATTCGTATCTGTTACAATATTTTTCAGCAAATAACTTATCACACTCTATAGTGTGAAGTTATGTTTATGAGCGAAAGCTCTAATGCTGAATGACGGTAAACCAGTGGTATCTTCGACTATTGAAACTTCCATTGCCGAGTCTCGTCTCTTGTGACGTTTTTAGATGACTTTCAGAGGAACAAGGGGCGAGTATGCCTGTATTATTCGGCGGTCATCAAACCTGGCCTATGAAAGTAGAAGACATTTACAGATTTATACAACTTGATTATTGATACTTTCGAAGCATTACTGACACGCAGTGGAACAGTGGGGTCAACGACATAGCGGTCTATAGTAAGGTATTACGTAGATATTAAAGGTAGATCAATGATGTATTAAACCTACTGGAGTAGTCAGGGTGGGCATTATTTATTCACTGTTATCGCATACCTAGATGTGTAAATACGGTCAATCTAGGAGTATATTGGAAGGAGCCACTGATGGCCAGATCGAGAAACGACATCAATCTATGATGTTACTGACCATTAGTCTGGTCCATATTGGTAGATGAGACCATTGTTTTGGACCACATCATAATCTAAACAATTAGTTGGGAAGTTCGTGTGTCGTAATCCATGACCGATCGCGGTGATGTATTTGAATGTATTCTCTATCTTAAGATTGTGAGTTATTTGTCATCTCCAATACTGTATTCATTGATCCTAAATCATAATTTGAAACTGCATTTTTATGGTACAATATACATACCACAGGACTATGTGGATATTAACCTGATAATTAGCCTATTATTTGAAGACCATGGGTTGGTGAGTTTATCTTTAAGCATGTCATTTGCAATGCATTAAATGTGATGAAATTCTATTTGATGTCATTGTTTACTCAAGCATCGGTCAAAAACCCTGATTTGTTCTCCTTTATAAATACATTTCTCAGAACTGTATTCTGTTACTACATACATATGTGGTAAAATTTTATCATGTTTACTCATGTGTTGTTACCTTGAAGTAATTTCTGTCTTTCAAATATTATTTGGCCTATGAACAAACTGTTTGCAGCCATTAGTGGATTAAGTTAGAAGCAGATACTTATCAAAGCAAGCAAGTAACTTTTCGATGAAGAACTATTCATGAATCCTGCTAACTTTGTGGACATTCACGTAAAGAATGGTGGTCAGTGTCGTACAGAATGTTAAGAGAGGACAATCTTATTTCGTTCCACGGGATTAATTACTGAATACATAGTTATTCGCATTCAATAGAAATGCAAAAGGTCTGCAAATTCGGGATCGCATAGATTGCGAAGAGGACTAGATCTTTCTGGGAGGCAAAGTCGTGCAATATTGCGTTATGGTATGATTATACCAGATACGGTTGTTACGTAAGACTTTGATTCAGTATTGTTTTGAAGTTATCAATGCCAAATCGTTTCAATGTCAGCACGAAAAACGTTTACGTGTATGACAGGCTATCATGTCACTTGAAAAAATCGAAAAGGGAAATTGGTGATTTTACGCAGTAAACACATTTGTCAGAAAACCAAAAATTCAATCACCAACCACCAATATACCTCTTAAGAAATGTAAGCTAATGAAATTGATAACGGCTGCAGTCCAGTAAACTATCCGAAAGTCAACATTCCCTTGAACAACTCGTCGAATACCAGATATTAATTCATTTATTTGGTTTATACGCATCAGATCTTCTCAACTGGAATTCATTTCACTAGTTATCTGATCTACTGTACAGCCAACACTACGTACTGTATCTTACAAGCATGCTGTATCAACATTTATATGTATACGTGAAGTGTCAAGGTTTTGGCATACAATTAGGTAATTGCCTGATAGATTCTACAAGTTGAAGGTATGTCTAAAGAAGCCTCCTATCAAAGGTAAATACGGAATAATATACGGCATCGGATCACGGTCACTGCGGTTTTCAATTTGTACAGCTGAAAAGCCAGGTGTTTTGAAGTGTGTCGACGAATGATAAATTTCATGTTCATTTCGTAGGTTGTAGTTTTTGTTTTAATACACTTTAGGTGAACAAACTGTCGGAGATATGCGATCATCCTCGTAAAATCACAAGGTTGGTGCTTGCTTACACTCTGTCATCCCAACTAGCAATTCAAGGAGAATTGGATGGAACAAATAACAACGTCGAGATGAGGGATTACCGCTTTTTCCGCCTGCCACAGAAACATACCTTATTATAGTTTACGTCATTTTCAGTTAAATGCATACAACATTTGAAAAGTAATTATAATTCAATCTCATGTCGTGAACAAATCTGTATATATATCATATTCCCCGATAACAGTGACTAATGTTATCACTTTAGACTTCTGTTTCAGAATATCACAGGCTCAAATGGACAGTCTTAATGGATATTCAGCCTCCAAACCGTTTCTGGCTTGTAAATACCACTTATTTATTTTGATCAACAACTTCATTTATAACACGAAAATGTTATCTGGCCAAAAACAACATTCAAGATGTGAGATATGAGAAGTGTTAAAGAGAAACAATACCTGTATAACGCTTGGTAACGTGTGGATGTAAGATCGTTCAACAAAACAGTTTTGAATGCAGTATCAAGCAGTGAATACGTTGCAAGAAAAACTAGATTTCAGTGAAGCAAACAATAAATCTTCTACACAGACCTAGTTTAATAGAGAACATAATTACTCTTCAGATTGTCGGCGTCTATTGTGTCATATTACAAGAAACATCCTTGAAGTATACTCCAAGGATGTTCATACATACCGATTTTATGCAGAAAAATGGTAGCGTTTGCGATATCAGCAAAAATACTTCACCCAAATTCTTGGCGTAGTGGAATTTAAATTCCACACTCAAATTTGAGTGGGTGTTGAAAAAAACTTTTAACCAGCGATAGGTTCGGCCTTTTCATGTAGTAAGTATTAGCATTTTTCCAAAGCACATGAAAAAATTCGGAAGAGTTCCAACATCTTTTGAGTGGAACTGTCTCACACTTGATCAATTTTATCCCAAATTAGGGAGATTTAGGTTCATGTGAGTATTTACATCTTCTGATTCGACTCATTTTATGTAAATATATGCAATTATTTTGTGGTATGCGACAAGAAATATCCAAAACTTGTCTCTTTTATATCTGTCGTTTTATATACATGGCACTGTTTGTCAAAATCTACTGAACTGTTATGAGCATTTCTATCAGTTGACTGAAACCAATGTTGGAGAAATTTTCGATATAATGCTTGAAAATACTTAGTTCAATTAGCTCCTAACACGCTATAACTGGCCAAATAATTCAACCGATCAATTTATAATTAAAAACAAATGCTCGTTTGCATCGTACCATCTTGTCGAAAACTAGCAAAATTTTATCGCTTAGCAACGTACTACATAGGCGAGTATAACAACGTACAAGCTGAGTGAATGGAACTTTAATAATATTATTTAACTTTGTTCATGGCTAGTTTAAAATGACAGTTTTTCTGTTGATTCCTAAATGGCTAAGAAGGTTTTCGTATTGTAGGGCCAGTGAAATGTCACTGAGCCCTAGCCAAATCATCCGGCAGTTGGATCACTGAATGTCGAACAGATCGTCGCTCCCTGCCAAGGTCATGTACAACAAACGCGCATTAGTTAATCATACGCCATGGACTGGCCCATGCGGCAGTGGTCTTACTTTCGCTTGTATCGACTTTAACTAATATATTTCTGTAATAACGTCCTTTGTATTGTACAGTCTTCAAAGCATCTATAGTACCTTGTTACGTCAATGGGGGTAGTCCACGTAAGGTGCTGACCACGAGGTGTGACTTCGACGTTAGTTGGTTCGTCACACTATTCACGTCTAACTCGAGTAGGCCTCCAATCATTTCGACATAGATCATCTACGTTGGTGATCTACAGTATTTTCATGAAGATTAATGTGTTGATCCACCAAGCTTCGTCGAGTGATCTTCATCACTTTTGATTGGATTTGGAACGAGACTATTTTCTCTATCAACACTTGCAGTCATATGAAAATCATTTTCTGTGTTAACGGAAAAGGGGGACTTAGTATTCATCCTACTCGGTAACTCTAGTAATTCACGATACACTGCGACAAACAGGACTCCATTCATAAACAGTTTGGTAATATTTCATTAAATTTCTGTTAACTTAAATGTCAAAAATGGACAGTAAACACCTAGAAAACCCTTTCTTTGGTGTGCAATCGGAAAGATATTTTACTGTTTTATTCGAAACACGTGTTTCCATAACCGGTATAGTGGATTTTGTCTCTCCACACTTCGTCAGAGCTGGAGTGTTTCCTTGACTCTGTGAGATGAATTCAAGTTCATTCGACTCATCCTATGGAGTACACTTAGGAGGACTAGTTTTCAAGCGGATATGTTTGGTTGGATGTGTGTCGTCACACGGCTCACATTTAAGTAATTTACTGTGGGATTAGAAATGTCATTACGTCGTTATATAAAGGTATTTTTGATATTTTTGATCGAATAAATAAGCTGTTTAGCATCGCTACAACAGCCAGCCTCAACAGTAGCGGGTGTATGAATCTGTCCGACTTTTTTCTAAGGTGGATGACTGGCAAAAATCTCCTTACTTAGATAGGTGTTTGTGGCTGAGGTGATTGTATGCAACTGCTTTGTGAGATGGTACATCCCTATGCCACAAATTCTAAAATAAACTCAGCCTTAGTGAGCCGTTCAAGATTTTTATCAGTATTAACTCCCCATTTGTGTTAGGGGTGCTATTTGGTTTAGCCTACGGTTAAATTTGCCTAGAGAGTTTTGTAACTGACGGGTATCAGTACTATATCGATCAGCATTTTGGTATATATGGGATAAACTATTTTGGCCATAGTAAAACATGCTGTCTGTTAGACTGTGTTAACTTTTCTATGCACGTGGGTATTGTGTCTTTTAAGTCAACCAGTCTTACCATTGGCATTCTGCACGAAGACAGAGTGGTTGTCACTCGGAGAATCAGGTAGTAATATTATTATTTGTGGATAAGACGCATAGGGTTCAGATGATGATTTGACATTGTCAGACACAGAGGTTAAGATTTTGATCTTTAGTTGGCTTCGAAGTCGGTGAAATTCCTCTTTTACTGGAGTTACTGGCCATAATTTGAAGCTAAGTGAGTAGTGAGTTCGCTTAACTTAAAAGAATATCTTGGTATATAGTTTTTATTAAGTATTATCCAGGTTAGTACTAGAATCAGATACTATGGGTATATAATGTATCTCAGATATATGGTGTTTAGTCATAATGTGAGAATAACAATCAATTGAATATTTAAAACTCAATTAATATAATTCAGATGTAACGACGTGTCAGTATCAACTGTTCAGGGCTTTTGTAGGATAAGTAGGAAACGAAATCGGCAGCAGATATGTATTAATTGGTAAGTTTCTGACAAAATTGTTTTCCCCAGACAAAGTGCGCCTGACATAAAAGATGAGATGATAATGTCATTAGAGTATATCCTGCAGATAAACAATTTGAAAATTCCTAAACCACTCGAAAAAATGTCACCACCTTAAAAGTTCGCGCTTGAATTACCACGACATAGAGTTTTGTCACCCACTGACACTTGTATCGCAAAATCGTCAACGTTAGATATCAGGAGTTCAACTTGATTTTTGAGGTCAGCTTAAAAAGTGTTTTAGGGGTATTTAATGCTATCTGATATAAGCTATAACCCGCTAACAATATATATTTTTGAAAGAATGGGTACACGTCATTTTCACAGATATGAGCAATAATTTGTAACAATAGTATAAAGATAAGAGGCTTCACGAATAGTGTTATTAAATGGGTCAATGAAGATAAGTTACAGTGTATTAGTGCAAATATGTCGGCTAGTTGATAAATAGGTTCATTCGTTTGTACCGTATTGTGAGTACAATGTTTATTACCCACTTAAAAATGGAATCGCGTCCAGCTTATGAAATTGGGGAATGCATATCCGGTTCAAACTGATTCGTTAGTTTATTTTCCATATGATGTACTCTTAATAACGTATAAATGCTCCTTCTTCGTCACCCAACTGGTCCGACACCATTCTAAGCTGTTAATGCTATATCTGGGGCTAACAGTCCAAGAGTCTGGTTTGCACAAGAAGAAGCTTCATTCATATCTCCTGGGACACGTTCTCAGGCAACAAACTACACATAGAAAACGGGCGCACTCCCATTCGAAATGGCTGCAGAGGCTGCGGAACTAATCGATTAGGTACCAGAGGATGGACCACACGATAGGATAAAAAACAGGGGTAATTCAACGTACATTAAATTCTGGTGAAAAAGAGTTTGGAAAAATTGTTGGATGCATGCGACTCTGTGGATAAGTAACCCTTGCAATTTTCACGTCATATGAAACATCTAGCTGGTCTATAGAAATTGAACGTAGCACTTCTGAATCAAATGTGGTTTCAACGTTTACCACATAACGTTAGACAAATTTTCAGTGTACCAGAGAATTTGGTAACCGCCGAAGATTTGGTAGATGTGGCCGATAAGATAATGGAGATCTATCAAGATTACCGCAACATAAACACAGTACGAGGTGTCGGAAGATCAGATTCATGTAGCACAGCAACTTTTCAGCAAGAGTTAACGGAACTGAAAAAAATCAATTAGGATCATTATAAGCAACAATAGCCATGGTCCAGATCAGACGACACAGATCATCGCCTAGACAGAGATCCATTTAGAGGCAGCGTACTTGATTACCTGAGCGG